GTAGAAGTTTTCGTCAATCTGGCTGAATATTTATCAGCTGTCACCATCTATGTGGTCGTTGGAACAATGCTGCGGTAAGCAAAGTTTGCACAGCCGACATAGTTGAATACAATGCCACTTCCTATAATACCACACTTGCAGAATCTAAAACATATTGATATTTACAGTATATATTATCAGTTCATAATTGGTTTTGTAATTCTTAAAGACGGGATTCGGTCTACAGCTCTAAAAGATTCTCCGAACAACCTTAGCTCTCACATTTATTCTGACCATAGACGAAGTGCTATGAAAGGATATATATTTTGAACGGTGACCAGTGATAACTGCAAAGATCAGAAATATTTTTAAACAGGAGTATACTATAAGTGCTCAACAATCTATTCACTGACGACTCTAATGAAATGCCGCACAAACCTCTGGATTATGGCAGCCACACAGATTCCTTCACATCCGATATTACAATTTTTCAACAAGTATATGCGAAAGGACGCAGCTCGCATCCTACGGCAGGAGAAATAAGTCGGCCCACTTCAAGCGGCTGAGATAAGTATTAGTGTCAAAGAGTATTGCGTGAGGGTTTGTCAGCCGAATTTGTGGAGCTTTTACTGTTGGAGCGGCATTCCATCTACTGAAATAACTCATTCCTAAAGGTAAGTACTTTATTAATGAATTGTTCAAAAGGCTTAGACCCCCAAACACTGTCACCTTATCAGTTATGGCGTCTTATGGGTAAGCAAATAATAGTAAGGAGCATTTAAATACAGCGACAGTTTAAGAGCTGACATTGAACTGATTGGATTTTCGGTTGTGTTATCTCCCGAAAAATTACTTAATCCAGTCGCATAAATTATGTTGCTCGAACTTCTCCCTGAACAGAAGGTTTGTGCATTTTGGGATTCAACCTTGCCAGTTGTATGTATTATTTAGGCTGCCATGTTTTCATACGCTGGATGTACTGAAGGTTTTGTTTTCTTCCTCTTATTTTTGCAGGAAACAGGAAGAAACACTACGACTACGTAAGGGCACAAACAAACTGATTCTCTACCCGGATGACGTAACACTCATAAGAAAGTCCAAACGGGTTGATCGTACGGGCGAGGTACTTCCAATTCTATGGTTTTCTCTTGTGGCGTCTGTGCAGTCTCGTTGCTTCGTTTTTTAAACTCGGTTCTTGACCAATTACCTAATATTCCTACGCCAAAATCATGAAACCATCAATTTGTCGTAGTTATTTTGCAGCTGAACAAGAGGGCGGAAATGTAATGACGAAAATCATTATGATGGTTATGAAAACTATTCCTTCTTCGTTGCGCTAAGTCCGTAATTTTTATAACATTATCATGCATAGCAAACCTAGAAACTCTGAAATGTCCCAGTTCATGATATTGTTGTGAGTTGCGATGGCGAAGCAAGTTAAATTATAATGTGCGAGAATCATTTTATCAATGTTTCTGCTCACAGGGTCTAAGTCTGTTTTTAAACGCCCGCTATATTCCAAGAGTGTTCATTAAGGTAATTCAGTGAAAAACTCATATTTGTTCCTAGCCACTATCGTTTGCTCTGGACTTCAATAAGAACCGTTTACGACTCAGTGGTTCTCGTCCTTTTATTTTGGGAAGCTGAGAACTCTTTCTGTTGATGTCGACTAACATTCTGATTGAAGGGTTCGATTTTATGGATCTTTGGTTTGCCTCGTTAATAATACGGTCATTTAATCTCCGCAGGTACTACGTGCTACGCATCGAATTATTACAATCAATCAGAAGATGTGGGCAGCTGCGTTTTCCATGTGACGAAATACGTACTGGTTTTATGATGATTCAGTGGCGCTGTTGCAGGCCCGGTGAACGTTTACTGAATCGAACTTTCAGAACCTGTTGGTTATATATGTGACCTCACTGGACTTTAAGAGCTGTTCAACTATGTTTTTTTCAGCGCAAACTCAGTCAGTTGCCGCCAGTGCATCTTGATATTACTATTTTCTGTGAATATTCTCATTGCCAATACAAACGAACATACGAGTCCCAGGAAGTAATTGGGAAGAAAACGACCCGATCGCTGGGTCAACACGTTTATTAGCCTGAGGTTTCGAAATCCGTCGCGGATTCATCATCAGAGACATGGGCAGGAAACAGTAGCAGAAAGCGGTCCCAGCGATCGAGTCGTTCTCTTCTCAATATTCTCATTTTAAACCCGAAAAGTCAACTCGGCGGACATGTTTCCAGTAAAGCATAATCAACTACTGTTTTTGACAAGGTTCACCGGATTCTGCACAGCAGGGTGGCGCAGACTTTTGTTGCACCTGCCTCACTCCCCCTTCCCCACCCGGGCCCTGTGTCAAGACCGAGTAAAAAAGCCCGGAGATGAGAAAGAGAGTGATTGGGCCTATACATTTATACAATTAAAATATTAAAGTTGAACTGTAGTTTATAAATGTCTTATGGTAAATATTCATCGTTCTCAAGCTGCCCGCATGGCGAGGTCGGCATGTTGAGGTCACTGGAACTGGGTAAGAAGGGAGATGGGGGCGAATTAGGGTTTGCACGGTAAGTGCTGGAAAAGGTGCGGTATAAGGCCAGACCCATGTACATTATAATGCTTCATATACGTACCTTATGCACCTCTCCAAGCGAGACGGACACCTTGAGAATTGTGAGGTTCTTCTGCGTTCCTGGGCTTCGCGGTGTGGTTCACGAGCCCCTATTCCACATGTTAGGCTACGGTTATGTATGGTGCGAACTGTATCCTTCAGCATATTTTCCCTTCTGCTTGGGAGTATACAGATCATTTAAACGGAATGTTGGTGTCTGGGTTTACTTCTAGGGGATCACGGTCTTCCTGAAGAATCTCCGCCTTCCGGGAACTACAGTGAAATCCAAACACGTAGAATTACTGCGGTCACTTACGGAATTGCAACATGAAAACTTGAACACAACGCTGGGAGGTTTTCTTGATTGTTCGTCGTTCAAGCTTGTTTACAAGCATTGCTGTCGAGGAAGCCTACAGGTAAGTTACTCTGTCAACAATATCCAATTCGGTTTTTTTGGCCTAGTTCACCGAAGCTAACTTTGACTTCATACGTTAAATAATCTTCCATTTTATGTAAATGAACCTTTTACTTATAACTCTTGAATTAAAAACGGTAGATACACTTTCGCATTACCAATGTTCCTCTGTGACTAGTGAATATTTCTGATTAGATTAA